GACTCGCAGGCAGAGGTGACCCAGAAGCTGAGCGAGATCTTCCAGCTAAAGACGCAGCTCAGGGAGACACGCATGGAGCTGCGCAGCAGGGAGGGCCAGATTGATGCACTGAAGCTCGTCCTGCAGGGGACACAGCGTCGCAGGTGTCCCTCTCAGAATGCACGTGAAGACGGAAAAGGAGCCGAGGAGGCTACTTCTGCTACAGGTAGTTTTTATGTGTCAGTAAATGTGGCACTGATGGTGTGAGGATCGTGTGATTTGATGATTTAAAGGTACACAGATCACTTAAATGAGTTGTCACAGGCCTGGGTGAGAGTTGAAATTTGTTGAAACACAAGTTCACCCAAAACACGTAGCAGGACTTTACATCAGCTACTTTCAGACATGAACTCTGGAAGATGAGAGAACTTTGTCTTTCTCATATGAAGAGCGCAGCAGGAGATTCTCTGATCAGACACGTTCACAACAACAGTGTTCAGGTGAAGGGTGGCGTGGCATCCAGGAGGCAGGACACAACGTAATAATTCAGGTCGCATTGTTTGTTTACAGCACAACAACACCAACACTGACCCATATCACCAAAAGCGTGTTCTTCCGTGTTTTCTACACGTATGACACCTCGTTTTTGTTTTGCTTCCATCATGTGTTAGAGCCGTCATCGACGCACCCACTCATTCGCAGTGAATAATCTGGATAATCTCCAATGTCTCCATAGACATTTGCTTTCTCACAGACAGCCCCTCTGGATTATCAGTGCATGTCTGAAAGCAGCTATAAAGACTTACATAAAGCTAAATACATCTCACTGACCAACACTAAATCATTTCAAAATATAGTTCATGGAAATCTTCTTAGAAAGCCCTAAGTTTTAAAAAACCTACTAAATATTGCAGAAGCCAAGGCGGCATACATGGAAAGTAAAAAAAGATGATATTTATGTGCTACAGATGTGTTTAATGACAAACTAGTTTTAACTGGGCTCTTATCAATGCAGCAGGAGCTTGTCTGGGTTTTTTGAGTTGGAGTTCTCACATGCTTGAACCCAAAATCAGGTTATTTGAGTATTTGAGGTCAGAGGCAGTGTTCGCTGTGTGTGTATATATGTGCATGTGTTTTCAAAAGCAGCCAAAGTCTTTCATTATATTTCCCCTATGGCACTGCTGGACTGTAGTTGAAGCCATGTGAACCTCTGTGTTGCAGGAGGATGCGGGGGGCCCACGGAGGAGCGTCTGCGGGCGGAGCTCCTACTGGAGCGACGCCAGAGCGAGGCCCAGGTCATGGCTTTCGAGGAAGAGAGGCACACATGGCAGACGGAAAAGGACAAGGTCATCCGCTACCAGAAGGAGCTGCAGTCCGGCTACCTGGAGATGTACTATCGCAATGAGGCGCTGGAGAGGGAACTGCACCAGCTGAGGGCGGGCAGAGAGCAAGGAGCAGGAGGAGGAGCAGGAGGAGGAGGGAGCAGAAATGGAACGTTGGAAAGAGAAGTGCCAGAGCAGAGTAGTGAGAGCGTGGAGGAAGAACAAGAGCAAAGACCTTCCTCTGCTTTGCCGTGGATAGAGAGGATCGAATCATCTGAAATTTGAATGTGACACATTTGCAATGCAAACTGTTTTCTCTTTGAAGTATGGAAGCTGGAGAAGACCAGGTCTACCAGGAAAAGAAAAAAAAAAAACATCCAAAAGTCAAAATTAAATCTGTAAAAGATGAAATGTTACTTGAATGAATTGAAAAAATGTGTTGAAATTATGATATTGTAGATCAAAATTTGTGATGCAGAATTTATTCACAGACTATGTAAAAAAAATTAAGCTTGGCATTAGTAATGATTATTAGTATCAATAATTGCACAGTTTAACCTAAAATACCTCCAAATTATGAGTTAAAAAAAATCAGCTAAAAGGTAAAAATAATAAGCTTTAATAATAATAAATCAGAATTAATGTTGCGAGTTAAACACTTGATGAAATCAAAATGAAAGTCAAATTTAGTGAAATCTCAATTATGACCAGAAATTCTACATGTTGCCTAATAATCCCTCCTTTTTATCATCTTTGGATGCATTAAATTTTTCTCGATTTTTCAATTTTTTATTCTTTTCGTGGTGGAATTAGGCTTATACAGGTCCTGCCTGCTTCTGCCCGTGCACCCTAGTTTATTGTTTAATGCCGTTACCTATAAGCTCGTACTGAAACACACTAATGGCTGCACAGGAGTACAGCCTGTGCCTCGTCTGTCCTCGTCAGTTTTGTATAAAATGCAGCTGAGCTCCAGCAAAGCACCTCGATAGTCCTGCTTCAGACTTCTGTCCAAATATAAATCTGTAAATAAACTGTGACTGATTTTTGTTTATTTGGTTGCTACAGTTTGGTTTTGACAGTAACCTAAGAATTTAAAGGGAAGCGCAGGAACACCTCTGCACCTGTGTGCAGACGGCCGGGTCTGTGGATTCACCTGGGCTCTGGGAGGAAAGCTGCGTCTCTGGGTTAATTATGGAGGATTAAAGCTGTCTGGTGCCAAGGTACTAATGCTGACTCTGTTTACCCTGCTGAAGAAACTGGAAATGTTGGACTTCTGATACCAATATATTTTGTACATAGCTGTGATTTGGTTGGCCTTCTCTCATTGTACAGCAGTCTGTTGTCTTAAATAGGCCTTTTTCCATATCTTCTGATTGCAATGAAAACAATCATCAGATTCAGAGGATGAATACGTCTGCTCTGCTTATTGGTGTGACTTGTTGCACATCGCCAAACAAACAACATCAAATGCATGACGTAGGTGGAGTTGTTTTATCGTATTGTTTATTATTATTATAAGAACGTTCAAAAACCAGCTCTCAATCAACCTTTCAACATACTGTGACTCTCATGTGTTTACTGGAATTTAAACTGTTTTCTTTCTAACTGGATTCATAATAAACTGCTTTTAAGTGGTGAAACAGGAGTTGAGTTGGTGGCATATCTGGTGTAAATCAATGCTTTACGTCAGGCTCGTCTGTCTCCTGAATTTAACAGCTAGAAATCAAATGTCAAAATGTTAGAGGCGTAACTGATGGCATTCACCCTCCGAGACGCCCGGCTGATCTGAAGGGGCTTAAAATGTCCACAGAGCGTGCCAATAAAAACCAAGGACGAGGGCTTTATGGTGGAATGAACAACAGAGCGGGAGAGGCTTTTGGGACTAATGTGGCTTTTAGAGGTTTAGCCCTGGATCCTTATCTCAGCCTCTCCCTGTAAGGCCCTCCCTGCCAGCCCCTACATACCATGCACTGCAGTACAGATGGCAGAGGGGTGGAAGGTCAGCTGAGATAGGAACAAAGCATCCCTGTTTGCTCAGGAAAATAAGCACTTCTGTGGAAACCATCAGATGTATAAACCAGAAAACACAGCTTCAGGGATAAATTGGCAGCTTTTTTTTTTAATTTTTTAAAGGTGTTACATATATATATTTATGGGTCTGCATAAATTAGCTTTTAAATAAAAAAATTGTGTGAAAAGTGAGCAACAGCACAAGTGTTGTTTTCTTTAGGGTCTGGATATCTGAATAGTTATGAGCTGTGTCTGACTCACAAGGCCCTTCCACCTTGGCATTTAAAACATTATATAAACTGGGGCTTAATATAACTGCACAGCTCAGGAGAGGTTGAGTGACTTGCTGAAGTGGGATGAGGAGAGATTCTTAACAGACACGTTATCACTCTGGAGGAGGACGGCAGCGCTGACCGCCGTCAGCTGGACTGCTGCTTATCTGATGAAGTGACAGTTGTTAAATACTAGTGAATTATTTATGAATACAAATGCAAAAAGTTCAAAATTAAACCACTAACTTGATATTTAATAGACTCTGAGGCGATATAGTAGGTCTATGAATAATGGAGTACTAGCGCCATCCAGTGGTGATGGAGAAAAAAGGGCCGGGCACACTGTAGTGAAGTGAGTCATGGTAGGAGCAGTCCACCACCAAATGCCAGTCCAAGCCTCCAAAACTGCATTGGAGTATAAATTTTTATTTTTTTCAATTTTCAGATGCAAGTATATGAAACAGGTTTTAGGATAAATATTTACAATAAAGGCTGCATAACACACAAAAAGCAGGAAATGCAAACATTCGACAAAAACTTAAAAAGAAAGTAGGGAGCGCTAGCAGTTGATCTGAGCGAACACTCGAGAGGAGCGATGAATGATTTTAAACAGAAGGAAAAAAAAAAAACAAGAGGAAACTCCACACGAGACAAACGTTAAACCAGGAGTCGTTACTCTTATACTGAGACTTTAAACCAAGGGTAATGTTGCAATAGTCGGCGTGAGCAATGCTGGTGCAGTGCTTGTTGAAGACATTTGCCTCACTTGAGTGTGAGGTGACATCACCATTTTCAAGAGGACACTTGCCCAATTAGTGTGAATCACCTAAACCGTATTGTACATCCAGAAGCCTCGCTTGTGACACCCTTTTCCAAAGTGTTTGCTTCACACATCACCAGTTCAGTAATATATACAAACTCCCATAACACCCAATCTATCAGCCTCAATAGTGAAATGTGTAATGTTTCTTGTAACTGCCAGGTGTGGTATGAACTGTTACAATGAGCCCTGAGGAAATGTATAGATTATTTAAAATGCTTCATCTGTTCTGACTCCATCTCAAATAAAAGGCAAACCTATGTAGGAGAGGCGTTTTCTAAGTATATATCAAACAACAGCCACAAAGATCAGAGCCCCCCCCCCCCCAAAACCCACCCACGACGAGTAAAGCTGAATCACAAGCCTACAGTCACTGCAAGTCAGACCATACGGCTACTGTCACACACTTTACATCTCCAAGTCACATGGCGTGCAAGCTCAGGGAACACGATGCGAGGCAGAGTGAGGCGATGGCGCGGTCGAACCATTAGCTCTGAAAGTTACACAGGAGAGTTGATTACACGCGTTGCTCCTCAGTTTAATTTACTATTTTACATGAGCTGTTGCTGGCGGTTGCAATGAAAAATTGAAACGAAGCACATTTCACAGTAGTATATATTTTTTGTTTCCTTTTTGTCATCGTTTGTTAAATACATACACAGAACAAGACACATGGCTTCTATAATGAGGGAGATCTTGCTGGTGCAGTCAGTCACAAAAAGAAAAAAAAAGCTGTTCCTCCATTGATAAGTTAGTTAATCGTTCTACTGATCAAATGGATACATCAGCCGACAGTGACTTTCAAGCAACGTGAGGCCTTTATTACATTATGGAGGAGTAATTGGTCGACAATCAAGACTTTGATTTCAGACAGACCTCCACAGTTCCCCCTCGCCACCAAATAATAAACCTACTAAACACTTTGTTACTCTGTTGTTCTCATGTGTAACAGAAGTTTATTTCCATCCTGAAGTCAAAAACTGCTTATCTATGCCTTTGCCCCACACACACCCATCCATAGTCATTTCACTGCTTCCATTAGGAAAAAAGAAAAAGAAAAAAGAAGCAGTCATCCAACTCAAGCAAACAAACACTATAAAGTATTACATATTTAAAAAGATAAGCCAATAACTCTGCAGGCATTTGCAAATGAGTTTCAATGAATGATCCTTTTTCAGAGGTGCTTCTTTGTGAGGATGCTCTCATGACTGAAAGACTCCTCACTCTACGACAGGTTGTAGTTCTCGCTGGAATCTGTGTACTACGCAAACTTGAGAGGGTCCGAGGTGGATAAAGGGGCGGCCAAGGCTGTCCAGTGAAGCACTGGGGTAAAACCTTAATGCTTACAATAACAGGCCCGAGAGGCCAGGGACAGAGGAAAGTTGCCAGAGCAAAAAATGGTCCTGGAAATGTGAGGAGCTCCAGGGAACTTCATCCTTACTCGTGAGTAGACTGAGCGGTATCAAAAGTAGATCTGCTTGGCATGTGACGGATTCTGCTCCATGGGGCAGTACGGGCATTTCAACCTGAGGAGATTAGATATGGAATGTTAGAATCTTATGCACTTTATATCACCAATATCAAGTAAGGTTTTTTTTCTGTTCTAGATTCTACTGCCAAATTATCAAAACATTAAAGAAAGGCACAAACATTTGGGATTCTGACACTTAACGCTGGTCTCAATGAAGAAAGTGATTATCCTCCAATTTTATAACTTGGTTGATTTAACTTGATTTGTGAAGATGTGTTTATATGTTAAAGTCTCTTGAATGTGGTGTCTTTATTTGTTATTTTAAATAGTTTATACCACTTGACCTGTCACCTAATATCGCCCAGGTCCATGTATGTCTTGTTCTTCCTTTGATTCTGGTTAGTCACCCTAATGTCGGCCAGTGTGCCATGCATCGCATAGGTGCATTTTTTTTATCATTGCCATGCATGAGCCACACTAACAATGGGTTTTGACTTTTTCCACATCAAGAATGCCTTAGTTTATTTCGTTTTTTTGCACAAAGCTGCATTTCAAACTTACTTTCCAGCGTTTGTCAGTTTGTTAAGGGCATCTCTGGAGATGACGTGGCCACAGATGAGCTTCATAGGAGGGTTGCTCTCTGAGGTCTGCTGCCGAAGGATTGGACAGGCGAAAACAGAGTGGTACCAGCATTTCTTCCCGAGGTCAATTTCAATCTAAATGAACAGACAGGGGGTGAATTTAGCGAATGCTGGAAAAAATAAAGGAACAGTAAGATCTTTGAGGTTATTCAGAAGAGACTCACAGGCAGCTCATCTTTGTGTGTCCAGACTCCGCTGCACTGTCTCTGCTCTATCACCTGCTTGATGTTCATCAGCACTGGCAAGGCCATACAGCCTGATGCAAAACTGCATAGAAATAGTAAGCAAACACGATTAAATAATGCTTCACAGTGACCATGCAGTAGCATTGTTAACGACAAAAATCTACTAATTAACTGTTTCAACTTTAGTCTCGACTTTGGTTTAAAAGTAAAGATATTACAGGAGACCCGAGATGAGGTCTTGTGTGTTTTCATACCTAACACTAAGTGGAGACTCTACAGAGAGGCCCAGTAAAGCGCAGGCATCTCTGGTGAAGATGTTGCAGATCTCTGCCCACTGATTTGTCTCCAGCAGACTTCGGTATGGCGAGTTATCGATGCCATGACGCAGATACACCAGACTGCCCATCAGGATCTGGATATCTGAAGGGGCACACAAGTGTAGGGGTTGACAATAAGGAAAATAATTAATATTTCATTATAAGGTAGGTAAACAGGTAGGTAAACAGTACAACACAACTAAAGTCAACCATCTTGTGTGTTTGTGTCAGAAATGTCACAGTGATTATGCCTCTATATGGTTCCTACCTCTCTGGTGCTGAGAGGCAAAGGGCTGAAAGTGCCTGGCATACTGCAGGGCCTCCATTTGGTTGCTGATTCCTCCACTGAGCAGACTGATGAAGTACAAGCGGTGCAACTTGAACTCTAAACTGCTGTTTAGGTCCAGGAGGCGCTGCCGATTCGTCACAGCCCACCTTGGAGGACACAAACATGAAGTAAAGTCAATTTTAAGAGGCAATGCGTTGGTTAAGCTGATCATTCTAAAGTTGATTATTTATCAACATCACCATCATTGGTTTAAATGTAATATATCTGATCCGTATCAATCATCTCTATAGATATTCCTCAAATGTATTATCATTACATTTTAAAAGGTTTTAAACCTGTAGAGTAAACTACTAATTTTTTGATCAGACAAGAGAAGTATCATAGAATTATAAAACAAGTTTTTTTTAATCATATTATTTTATTCATGTTTGACTTTTCTGAGGCAATAAATTTAGATTCAAGACACCTATACAGACTCATCTCTATATCTGCACTGTGAGAAATCAGTTACATTTCTTTACAATGCTGATCAAAAATGTATAAAGACATACTCTAGTGCCGGCCGGAGGTCCTGCATCCTCAGGGCTTCCAGGATCCTGTTCAGCTCCAGGAAAGGCTGCTTCATACTCATGTCTATAACTACACCAGACTCCTGGAAAATGACACACACATTTCAACAAGGAGTTACACCAATATTTATTTTGACAAAAACAATGTAAACTTTTAATTTAACTTACAACTTTCAGAAGGAGGTTATCACACAGTCTTGCAGGTAACAAAAGTTTCACCGTTATTTACCTGACACAGGTCCTCTGCTACACTGAGCATTCCTTGTCTGTACAGGTGCTCCACAATGGTCTCACTCAGGTATTTCTGTCTCTCTGGGGTGTCCCACACTGTCTCTGCCACCACAGCACTGATTTCTGCATCAAAATTCTGTAACGATGCATTTCAGAGATGATTCTTTGTGTATCGGACGTGTTCGATTATTGAGTTAATATTGAAGTTGTTGCCTGTCCTTACTCTGTCAATGGCTTTGCCCACTTTCGACACACTGCCATGGATGTCCTTATGTCGGGAGGCAAGCATCTGAACTGTTTCTTTGATATTCTTACAACACTGGGCCATAGTCTGAGACAAGACCGACAAGTCTGCATCTTGTACTCCTAAGAGAGAAAAGGGAAAAGATTTCACTGTCTACAACATGTGTCTGTTTTGTTATGATGAACAAAGAAATGAAAACTACTATAAAAATAAGATTTAAGGCACTCAACTTACAAATATTTATCTTAAGTGTCAGTCACTTTATGTGTGTAAGATTTTTCTTACCAAAAGCAACTAGCTGTCCTCGGATCTCACACACACTGCGCAGGAGCTCGTCTAACCTTTCCTCAGACTGGTGGCCGTACATAACGAAGCGATGGAGCACTTTCTCCAGCTCCCGCTCCACACATGCACACTGTTCCATGATTCAGGCTGGAACACTCACATACACACACACACAACACTGACACCTAGATTTAAGAGAAAAACAGTTTGAGGAATTAGCAGCATAACTGTACTGATGCAGGACTTTTATCCTATATGCATTTTCATTGCAGACATTAATCAGCCAGTCCACAAAATTTTAAGTTGATGTCTTCCAATTACTTGTTAAACATTAAACAAGAGAACGAAAAGTAAACAATATTCATGTTTGTGCAGCTGAAACTAGACAATATGAAAATTTTGAAAATAAAAACTTGTTCTTAATCAATTAAGAATTTTACCGAATTAAATAAAAAATAATCCTTTTTGATAGTGATTCATGAAACGTTTTTTAAGAATAATGATAATGATATGTGATCAGCAGGACATTTTACAAACAAAAAAATATCCTTGTCAGTGGAAAAGAATCTCTGGCATTCCCCAACAACAACGTCCTCTCTTGATGTTATTGTTTTCATTCTTTACAGTTTATGTAGTTTGCTGCAACATAAAATAAACACATACAAATTCGTCCTGTGGACCTGATTAAAGGATTAGGGATCCCATTCTGTTTTACTCAGGGTTAAAACCCATGTTTAAATAGGCTGATGCTGTGTTGACAGCCCCATGACTGTCACACTGCTGCTGTCAGAAGCCCAGAGGTACAGTGATGCGTTTAAAGACCTTTGATAGTCGTTATTTTCAGTGGAGATGAGGACGAAACGAACTTATCCTTTCCTGCCCTGATTAAAAGTTTGGCCTGCTGTGGCTCCACTAACAACCAACAAGGCCTTGACATGACAACCAGGCACACAGTGTACTCTGCGGCCTGGTGTTTACTAACGTGAGCCGCCGCTAGCGTCTCAAAGTTGAATGAAATCGCGAGGCAAAGAATGACAAATGGACCTGGGATTTAGTTCACTGTTATTATTACTTTCTTACTGGGTTCAAAGTATGAATCCTTTCGGGCTCAGCTTTGCTGTAAACTCACCGTCTGTGAGCTCAACACAGAAAATGTCCACCTACGGCAACAACATACACGCAAGCCGCACTGTTTCACTGACCAAACCCCACGTTAGGTGTTTTAATTACTGGCTACAACTGATAAACTTGAAGTAGCAGTAGTATGTTTTTATTCGACGCGGACATTTGGAATATTGAGCAACAGCAGAGCTAACATAAACAAACGCTACCACAGCCTCTAGCCACAAAAGCTCGACATTGCTAGCGGCTAGTTAGCTAGTTGACGTTAGCAGCTGCTCACTGACACGGTCCAAATTGTTTCAGGAGAGAATGACAACCCGCTCATTTCGTATCATCCCAACACTTCGAACACCCAGAGCCGTTTCACTCGTTTTAAGATGTGGTTAAATCAACAACACTCACCTGTCGTGCTGATTAGTTAGCAAACATTAGCGTTAGCCACTTGCCTGTAATGGCAACACTTCACCAGCAGTTGTAATGCGGAACTTCCGGTGTCGCAGTCAGCCTCAGCTGGACATTTCAAAATAAAAGTTGTCTTTCCTCCGGGACATCCAAGGCTAGCAGCTATCAACAATAGACTGTGCTAAAGAGCTATCAACACGATGTTTCTCCTACACGATGAAGTTTTGAAGCTGTGTCACAATCCATCCCCTGAATGTTGGCACAGGATACTGAAGCATCAGTGTGTAAACACCCTTTTCATATTGTATTTGGGTAAAATGGAGGTATTTGTTTAATATGAAGGATCAAGTTTTGGGTTTAGCAAATGCAATGGGTCTCATTTTTGAACCAATCTCATTTAAAGTTTAAATCAACAAAATGACTTGTAATTACTCCAGTAAACTATGTTGTGACCATAATAACAGAATTTATTCTTGAACACCAAAATTAGAATATATCTTATATTCTAGATAGTTTTGCTTGTCTAGAACTTGCTTATGCAGAACATCACAACCTAAAAAAGCAATTAGGTCAGTTAAATGCAATGTGATCTTATGGTTATATTCTTTGTGTTTGTCATGAATACTAGCACTTAAATAACTCCTAGTGAGACTGGACCCTTGTTGAGCGTCAACCCCCCAGACAGAGCCTCTGCAGGAAAAAGCAGCTGTGATGAATTTCTAAAAAGTAAGTCATGTTTATTTATCTTCACACACACAAGGCAGTGTCACAGAACATAAGCCTCCCCTCCAAAACCTTGACATAAACGTTTTACACTAACAGGTGCCCATGCATGGCTTGTTAGTGTGTGTTGTTTTGTTAAGGGTGTGAGAGGGTGAGGCCTTTAGACTTGGGGCAGGCAGGTGTGACTAATCTATCAGTAATGTAGACTAAAGCTCCCCATTGCTGAGGTGCTCATCATTCTTTCCCTGTGAGTCCGCCTCCAGTCTGCCGTGCTGCCATGACCGCAGAGGTTCAAATTTATCAGTACCTCTGTACACTTTAGTTTGCACTCTCTCATAACTCTCGTACCCATATTATGTATGTACTGTATGCATTAATCCTCTGTTACCATTTGAAACTTTATTGTGCTCAGAGGCCATTGTTTTACAGTTTGACTCCATAGTGATACCAATGTGTATTTACAAATCACAATGAAATAGTGTATTTTAGTTTACTGTACAAGCTCTAAAACATTGTATGATCCATCTTCTCTGTTCAGACTTCAGAGGGATGATGATCCACGCTTGTCATGCCATTCCAGCCTCCAGTGAGATCTGAAATTACTTACGAGGCATTTTTGAAAGTGGATCTGGAGTCTATAAACACCAATTGATTTATTGAGAATGAATGGTGAAAAGAACTATGTAGCTGTTGTAAATGTCTGCAAGTTGAAAGCTGTTGCAATAACCAAGGTCAGAGACTCATGTCTTGTTTTGGAAAGCTACACTGACAATGTATGCACTCGTGACAATGTAAGACTCTTCAGAGAGAAGATTCGGGCCAAATTACAAATGCATGATGACATACATACCATAGCTTGTTCCCATACTACAGATGTAATATACCCACAGTGACAACTTTATGCAACATTCATTCCAGGCTGCATTCAAAGATTTTCCATCGGCTTGGCCTGAATGACTTCATGAGTGAGGATGAATGGTAATCTTATGAGGTGTTAGGTTAGGGACAGAGGCCTACCTCACTACCCTCAAACATGCCCAGACAGACTCAGTGGGGCTCAGTACTGTTATTCTAAAACGTACAATAAATAATGTGATACCATTTGTTGACACAGTTTTGATTTCATGTGTTGTTGTGTGACAGCTTGAAGGTCCAGTGTGTAAGATTTAGGTGAAAGGGAACTATTGGCAGAAATTTAATGTAGAATAATCCTCATGATGTTTTCACTAGTTTGTTTCATCTGAATTGTATGAATTGTAGTTTTCTTTACCCAAGAAAAGGCCCTTTATATTTAAATATTTATTTACATCAAGGGGACCCTCCCTACGGAGGCCGCCATGTTTTTTACATTAGTCCAGACTGGACAAACTAAACACCTTTTGAGTTTTTATGATAATTAAAGGCTACCACAGGTTCTTTCTCATGTTTGGAAGGAGAGGGTGAGGTGAGGGGTGTTCAGCTGCGACATGCAACTTCAACACTAGATATCACTAAATTCTACACAATGTACCTTTAATTATTAAAATTTTAATTATATTTTGATTTGTTTTCTTGAAATAGAAGATATCCAGACATTGACAGGAAAAACGTGATAGAAAATATATGAGTGCCATAACATAGTTATGCAAGTGTTGCTACCTTAGGAGTTCTGCATGTGAGCTGTGTAAGTTGGGTGGTCTGTGTTAACCTTTGACCTGTTGTACCCCATCTACACCATCGCAATCACACCCTCACTCAAACACACATGCATACATGTGTACATTAACTATAGCGTTGATGCTTAAAATAAGCTCTTAGTAGTGGTCGAGTGGACAATGTGTGGCTGCACTTTGAGTTTGGTATTTCCCCTTTCTTTCCCCACCACCGTGCCCTGTTAAAGCTATGGCTATCATGGCCCTGATAATATGGGACTATATATAGAGGAGCCCTGTGACTGAGCCACTCTAAGTGTCAAATTCCAGGCGCACTCATCCGTCCTGGCTGGATCAGCACCTGCTGCTAACTATAAACCTACCCACCCCCTGCGCCGCACCCCAGGCCAGCTCCCATTAGAAAGCCACTGCCCAACCAAACTCCCGTGTGAAGAAGAAAAAAGATCCAGGTTAGAGTCAGTGAGTGCTTACCCCGAGGCCAGCTCAGAAGGGAGGGGCAGAAATAGAGATGGGAACATTGGAGGATGTAACTTGTCTGAGCGAGATGCCCGTGTGTGCTTTTTCTATTCAAGTCTGATACATGGCAGCGTGGCACTGCCAGACTGAGCGGAGCTGCTCAGTCCTGGATTCTGCGTATGCACTGAGGTCTCGTATGCTTGGAGCCTGCTGGTGATTTCGAGAGGCAGCTCACTGGATGACGGACAGACATTGCAACACAGAGCAACTCAATGCCCTTGGGAAAGACTCATCATTAGCCAAAGGTACAGTACCAGTCATTCTGTCTCTATCTACTTGTGCATTGAGCAGCCCTTCCTTCTCTTGTCAGTCTCTCACCAAGGCAACACGGAGAGCTTAGATAAAGGGTATGTATAGCATGTGGCAGAGCAAATAATGTAAAATTAATTTATCTCCTTTAAGTCCTTGTAATTTAAATTTGAAATAAGATGAATTTATTATACAGTTCTTATATTTATCATAATATCTTGATGATTAATCTTATGAACCTAAACACATTTGGCAAAACATTAAATTTCTGGTATGTATCTTAAGTGTTTGCCAACTTTAAGTGAACATTTGTATATTCTCTTGTGTTGATTTCAGTTTGCTTGCTGCTGCTTTTTAAGGCATCATGACAGAGTGAGTTATATTTATGTTCTGAACCCCTTTTGGAGGTTGAAGATATTCTTTTACTGTTGGCAACAAAACAGAAACACTTGTCTCCACCGTTGCCTGTCAAATGTTGCTCTTGGTTTAATTGAATGAGATACACAACCTCCAGGTGACAATATCTTCTTTCCAGTCCAGGAACAGAACCCAGAGCAGACTCAGAGAGTGGACTGGACTGGCCACAGTGAGAATTTGGAGCTTGTGGACTAGCGATGGACAGCTGGACTCTTCAAGGAGACAGCTACTCCTTTCTGCGCAGTGCGCCCCGCACCTTTTCCCTGTGTCATCGTGACGGCACCCCCAACCACGTAGAAATCTTTGACATCATCAACGTCCCCACTCAGCGCAGCGCCATCTCTGAGACCACTTGCCTGTGTGACATTTTTGGAGACGATTGTGAGTTGCCCTCGCTCTCAAGCAGTCCTGCTGTAGGGGTCTTTGTCCCTTCTAAGAGGGAGGCAGACGGGACAGCTGCTGCATCACCTCTGGCGGATGATCTGAATGACTCAGGCTCTTATCACACTGCACAGGGTTCCAGTGAAGGAGAGGAGGGATTTGAAGATTCACGAGAAAGGCTTTACAGCCCCCCATTGCAGAGCCCGTCTTCAGAGAGGTGGCAGTCCGAGGGCGAAGGACTGAGTTCTGATCACCCAGACATCTCTGAGGACAGTAGCCCAAATTTAGAACGAAAAAGCAAATCACCAGTCCCTCAGCTTAGTAGAGCTAGCCCACCACCTGAAGCCCTCAACACTGGTGAGAGGACGTCCTCTCCTGGGGATAATAGTTCCTACACCATTACTCCAGAAGGGAGAGCGTCACCCTCTTCTTCTGCAGACAAGATAAGACATTCACCATCATCGCCTAGTCCAAGACAAAATCAGTTAGAGGCTGAACCAGAGAGACTCACTCCGGTTTTGAAAGACAAACACAACAGCCCTGCACATCAATTCTTAAATCCAAGTCCGTGCTCTGAGCTGAGGACCTGTGTCAGCTCATCCTCCACTGACTCAGTGAACACCCAGTCTTCACCTGACTTCAGAGTGGCACAAAACTCACCTCATCAACGGAACCAACAAAGCAGTCCCTTGCCTGAGCCCACATCCATAGATTTTTCTCTGGATTTTACAGAGTCAGCCTTTGAATCTAAAGGCAATCTTTCATCTCCCATACCTTCATCCAGCAGTACAGAGTCCCGTTCAAGAGAAACTTCGGTCACCCCTGAGCTGAAGAATAGGCCGTACTCCCCGGATACTCAAGCATCATCACCTTTTCTTGAGCTAAGGAGGGTTTCCCTGCCTGATCTTTTCAGCAGAGGCTACACACCTGATATAGAAGAGCTTCCCCGCTCTCCTGAGCTGATTTCAAATCCTTCATCTGTAGGAAGAGACACCACAGATACCCCTGAGAGCCAAAACACAGGGTTATCAGTTGAAGGAGGAAGCACTGTTTCTACACCTGCTCCACGATACACACCTCCCTCACCTGTCATTTCAGTAGCAACATCTCCTGAGCTGGTGGAGACCAGTGTCTCACCTGAATTTAGACACACAGCACCCTCACCTGGCTTGCTCAGTGCGGCCTCTCCAGTTACGGCAGGGACGAGAACTCCCTCTCCTGGCCCCTCACCAAAAATAAGATACACTTCAACACCTACTGAGAACAGGAGCCAGGTTTCCTCGCCTGTGGTAAGTTATACTTTATCTCCATCACCTGCAGCTAGGAGCTACTGCTCTCCTGTAGAACACAGACATACCGCTCCTTCACCTGAAATCAGGATTACGGCATCCTCACCTGAGCTTCTCACTTACTCTGCCTCATCAAGAAGCCTCAATTCATCCCCTCACATCACAGGGATTTCTTACAGCATTGTTCAGCCTGAGGAGAGGGACACTCCCCCATTTCCTGAGCTCTCTCGTCTCTCCACCCCTGAGCCTCACAGGACACCTGAGGCAAGGAGCCGTACTCAAAGCAGAGGCAGTGTACAGAGCAGCACAGCAGAGTCCACTGGCACGCCACGACACTCGCCTCATACATCAGGCTCCACAAGCTCTGTCCTGCAAACACCTTCACCTCAGCCACAGCATCAGACTCCCAAACCTGAGCCAGGACACCAGACCCCTCCGTCTCAAAAGCATCAAAGTCCCTCACCTCAGCATCTCCCAAGTAAAGACCTGTCACTTGTTTCCCCAACTCCTGAGCAGAAATCACCAGCAACCCTCTCTGCAGAGTACTGCTCTCATTATACACAGCCTACTCCTCCTCTGAGAATCACACCTGAGTTCAAGGAGTCCTCTTCAGGTGATATTACAGAAATACAGTACCCCACACTTTCGGCAAAAGACGTGTCACCCTCATTTGAATTAGAGAAAGGAGACGCATCAGTTCTTCCTGAAATCAAAAGCAGTTCACCAGTGGTCATAGTTAGTTCACCTGTATTAACTTCACCTTTCTTAGCAGAGGAAAAGATAGAGAGTTCGTTTGCACAACAAAGCACAGAGAGAGAAGCACAGACAAAGGAAGTAAACATTCAAGATAACTTGAGTTTAGCCTCCTCTGAGGAAAAGCAAGTCTTTGGCTATAACATTTTTCCAAAAGAAAACCATTATAATAACCCACCCACTGATATCAAGTCTCATTCCCCTAATGTTCTAGTCTCTAAGGACAGGAGCCCAACCATTTCACCTGTCTGCAGGGCTACATCCATCTCCCCTGTGCAGAGACTAGAAAAAACACATCCTTTGTTCACTTCTTGTTCTCCAAATTCTGAGAAGAGCAGTTTCTTAAAATCATCTTGTACACCTGAGCTCCCAAGAAGACATCTGTCAACCAAAGTTAGACGTGAAAACAGAGAGAGGTTCACCGAGAACATGGCCCACCGTGTGCACAGAAGACGGACGCCCTCTCCACCACTCACCAGGTTTACACCTGTCCACATCATAGCCCCTGAGAAACCATACCGACAGTGGCAGAACAGAAGCCACAGCCCCTCTCAGGTTGTAGCATCCTCACCAATTGGTAATTTGAATACAGTGGTGACAAACAGGGAAAGCCCCAATGTAGCCCCTGTTGACAATAATAGCCAGGCCTACTGTGGCAGACTAGGAGGGCAATTGGAGATGGATAGGGAAATGCAGATGCAGGAGGAGAGAGTAGTAGTTAGGGAGAGGAAAGGGGATAGGGAGATGAAGAGAGAGAGAAAGAGGGAGGAGCATGTCCCTGAAAAAGGGGAGGGGTGGCAGGGGGACGCTAGTTACAGA